CTGCTCCTAGCTGGCCGCGTGGAGCCGAAGCAGCCTCAAACTGCAAGGAAGGACTGGTGCTCTGCAGCTTCTCCATCCTTGCTAGCGGGCTGTTTGGTCTAAGGGAAGGTAGCAGCATTGGCCACTGCAGTTGGCCACAGGGGCAGGACGGTGGCACTTCGCACTCCGTGACCCTGCACTTCCAGGCAGTTGGTCAGGGGTTTTGCCTCTTGGTGCCTCCTGGTCCCTAAATTGCCAGGAAATTTCCAGACCCAAACAAACAGCAACATGTGGGGTTTGTCATTGGCTCCAGTGCAACCTGTCGGGAGGGGGGGGGAACGTTGCCATGGTTATGGGGAGAGGGGAAAAAAAAAAAAGCCCCGATCCAGAGAGACGGTTTGGCAGATAAAAGTGCTTAATTAAAGATGAGAAGAACATAGAGAAGTTCAGCTGCGCGCAGAGCATGGACGTAATCAGCGCCAGGCAGCTGCCAGGAGTTATCCGGTGGACTTCACGTCATACCGGGTGTTGAGGACTTTTATTTCTGTCTCTCAGCAGATGCCTGGCTGCTCGTGGCAAGGCAAGCGGGACAGCATGCAGCCCGTTCAGGAGCTGCTCTGGGGCCGAAGCACCAGGCGTGACAGCAGCGGCTCCATCCGTCCGCGTGGCTAAGGGCACGGGAGGAAGCAGGGACAGTCGCGCCGCCGGGAGCACGGACAAGCTGCCTGAGCAGGACCTCAGGGTTTTCCTAGCCCTGGTGTGTGGGAACAGCTTCACCAGCTGGGCGGCCCAGCTCCATCTGAGCCGGTACCTGGTAGAGAGAAGGTGTGAAAGAGCAGAGCGACCCTTTCTCTGGCATATCCGCTCCTCCTCCTCCCTCCTGGAGCTGGCAGTCAGAGCAGCGCTAGCAGCCCGGCGTCTGTGGCCAGAGGGGCTTTTTTGGTGCTGCGGGAAGGCTGTGCTGCCCTGTGCCCTGCTGAGTGCAGGGCTGGCGCAAGATGGTCCAATGGATGCCCGGCCCAGGAAAGGAAAAGCTGTGCCAGCATCCTGCAGGGAGAACCGGGCTGGGAGGGTGACTGTGACAGGATGGCCTTTTCCTCCCGCTCTGCCTGCCCCAAGCACCCTTCAATCACACGTGGAGATGCTTGAGGGTGTCTTAGGTGCTCGTTTCAGCTTGCCCGGCACGAAGATGAGTCCTGAAAAAGCTTTCTTTTACCTTTGAAGCACATTTTCTCACTTTTCCCACCCCAATCAGCCAGAGCCTGTTGCTTTTCCTTCTCTCTCCCTTCAGAGTTAAGTTTTCCTGGTGTTTGAGAGCGGAAACTTGCTGCATCCCAAGGGCTGGACTCAGCTGAGACATCCCCACGTGTGCAGCAGCTCAGGGACAGAAGTGGGGGGCATGGGGAAGTGTCAGGTCCTGAGCCTCAGCCCCTGATCTGCTTTGCAAGGCTGGTAGCTGCTGGTAGCCAGCCCCTTCTGTGCTGATTTTCCCTGTTTTCCCAGTTTGCTGTAGCCCCTGCTCCCAAATCTGCCTGGGAATGAGGTTATCGCTGCATGTTAGCCAGGGTTTTCCAGCTCTCCCACCTGACATGGCAAGTGGGTCACCCCTGTGAGGGGGATGCTGCTGCGGGGACTGGAGTCTGAGCATGCAGCCCCGCAGCAGCGGTGGCTCAATGTGCAGTTGGGATCCATAGCCTGCCACCATCACGTTGCTCTGGGACACCCCACTGATGGACACAGAGAGGTCAGGGTGCTGGGGCAGCTGAAGAAGAGAGTCTGGGCTGGAAAGAGGAGCCAAGAAATCAGTTGACATTTTAACTGAAACCCACCTTTGGGACTTCCACCTCTCTGCTCAGGTTGGACTTGGACTGGCCACTTAGTGGAAAATCTAGGGCTAATTTTTAGATTGTTTCCATTTTTTCTCCTTTCTCTTTGGTGTCAGATAGACTCGGCCCAAGCCAAGAACGTTTTCAAGCTTCCTGCCACCTGAAGGAGCCCACAGCTGCTTGTAGGAGCTGACATTTCTGGCCCAGCAGCCCAGCATTCCCTGACATGTGTTTTTTTGGAAGGATTTGGACCAGGAGCTCTCCAGGGCAGGGACCTACTGCTTTTTTCAGGTCCATCCGGCATGTAGCTGCTCAAAGCCCGGGCTACCACAACCTTGAACCGACTCCCCATTCGTACAGACACCAGTAACTCTCAGCAGCTGCTCATTATCTGTAGGCAAAATGTGCGTTTCTGGTGGCAACACTCTGCCTGGCCTAGTGCCAGGCCTCCCCCTTCTCCCAAGCTGCGCCCTGGCAGGAGATGGCCCTTCCTGGGGGAGAGCATGCTGCGGGGCTGGAGGGGGAGATGGGGGGCCTCATGGCTGAGATGCTGTTTGGGAGAAGGCAGAGGCAGGGCTGGCTGCAGCCCCCATTCCTGCCTGCAGCTGCATTTACCACCCAGCAGGACTCCCAAGTCAGATGAAACAGGCCCCAACGCTGCTTGCTAGCTTTGATTTCCTTCTTTTCCTCCTCCCTCTCTTGTCTTCTCTTTTAACTACTTCTGACATGTGAAAAGGGTCAGGTCTGGTAAAGATGCTCTTGCCTTCTGGGCAGGAAATTCACTGGGCAGCCAGGCACTGCTGGGCACCTGGGGAGCCCCCACCATGCACCAAGACAGGGCAAAGGGATGGGGCGAAAGACCTCTGTGAAGCATCCTGAGAGACAAGAGTTCATTACTCTGGGAAGGAGTTTTGCAAATGTTTCATCTGGATTGAGAAAAAGCCTCAAAGAGCAGCTTCTAGTGAGGAAAGCAAGGGGAGTTTCTCTTCCCTTTAGAGGAGTCTCCTGGCAGGGGTGTTCAGGCATTGGGCACAGCCTGGCAGAGGAGGGGAAACGGCGAGGAGAAAATTGGGCTGGATGGATCCCTCCAGCCATCGCCAACGGACTCATGGCCCAGCCCATAAACTAATTCCTTTCTAGAAGTGAGATTTTGGAAATACCTAACCAATCGCTCTGCTTGCAAAGTCAGGCTGCCTCGAGCTCTAGTTCAGCAAAGCGCTTGAGCCACCCTTCTGTCCCAACTGTACCTTTTACGCAGCTAAACTAAACAAACTCAGCTCAGCCGCCTGCCCTGACTTGTACGATATCAGACGAAGAGGGATGCTCTCTGTTGTTCCACATATTCAGCATGGCAGGGAAGGGTTTAATTCTTTCTAGTGTACTAAATCGTTGCAGTGAAGACTTAAAGGTTTTTGGAGGCAAAAAAAAAAAAAAAAAAAAAACCCACATACAAAAAACCCCTTAATTCAAATGCAGATTTCTGGTAAAGAGAAATGTCTAAAGGAACTTTGATAACTTGAAGGCAAAGCCTATGTTCAGTTACTGAGCCGAGACTGAAAGTATATTTTTTAAAAGCTTTTTGGTTTACTTTTACGTTCTGCAAAAGAGTGCAAACAATGATTCTCATGTAAAAGAAATACTGTGGTAAACTGAGCCTTGCACAGCAAACAGAGACTGGATCGTGTGGGGGGGGGGGGGGGGGTTGTGTGTTTGTTTCTCAGATAACAGCAGAGATCTCTCCTAAAAACTCAGTAGTGCAATCTGGCCAAGGGTTTTATCGGCGATTTCCCCCCTTGACAACACACATGATTCACACATGGTGGTATCACCCCAATGTCTCTGTCTTCTCTTGGGCAGTAGAAGCAGCAGGACTCAGTGACTACCCCCCGGCCCTGAAAAATTTTCTTTGTGCTGATGAACAAGTAAAAGGAAATGGCTGAGACCAGCTCCCAAAATGGTCGCTGCTAGACAGTAGAGAATTAGCTGTACCAGCTCTGCAGTAAGGGGCATGAACCACCTGGCAGCAACCACAGCACACGTCTCCCCTAGCTTGTCCTGCCATGAGGATCAGAGGGGGCCAGAGTCTCCTGGGACGGGTGAACTGCAGTTAGGTATGACCTGTGCTGATGGCGCTCACTTCCAGATGGCATCTGTGCTCACTGCTGACCCAAAGCGCTGAAAAAGCCAAAATCCGACCCTCCCTGTCATGAAATTTGGGTTTCTTCCTTTTACTTGCTAGTTCTTTAGCTTTTCTCGCATCTTTCAAGTTAACTCAATGACCATAAAAGCCACAACTTCAAAAGTAAATGAAAGTGCTCAGCTGGATCAGCTGCGCTAAGTACCTGTGCTAAGTATTAGTCAGATTGTGGTCCTAATTATCTTGGACCAGATCCTGAGCTTTGAGGCTCTGCTGCTCTGTTCTCCTGGCTGCAGGGTCCAAGGCAGGAGCTATGGCTAAGGGACTTCTTCCCTTCTCATCCACAGTCCTGGCGCACCAAACAAACACGTTGTTTCCAGGATCCCAGCAGGTTTTATTTCCTCCCAGTTTCTTCCCCACACATCTTCCCCACGCTTGCCTCATTATATCTCAGCATTTTGAAACCCAGCAGCAGTAAAAAGAGCATTTGATTAAAAGAATCTGCAAACCAGACAAATCCACTTGTTAATTGTATCCCTCCCTCTCTTCCCCAAGACAAGAGCAAGATCCTTTCCAAAGTGCCCATAGTCCATCTAGTTATTCAACCAGGACAACAGGCTGGATGTTCATACAGAATTTGAGCTGCCCAGGTCAAGCTTTGATGACAGAAAGAAGAGCCCCCAGCTTTTATAAAAAAATACAACTTATAAAAAAATAACTTAAGTGTTATTTAGAAGGCATTTATTTAAAAATGGGTACAATTTGGTAAACATATTTGACTATATGGAAGAAAATTTCAGATTAAGTTTTAAGTTGTATTCAAATATAAGTGTGCGGCATTTATATACCTGGTTTTCACCTTAAAGCTCTCTCTGAGATGTTAGTACATACTCCCTTCCCCCTAGGGAGGGGCTGAAAGGTGTTTTTCTGTCTCACACTCTACCTTCGGACTGACTGGGAAGAGGAGCGTATTGAGTGTACTGTAGGCAGGTGTTGCTGCCAAACTCCTCTAATCTCAAGCCCAGCCTGAGGAACACTGGCACAGCAGTGGGCTTCTTGGATGCTTCCCGTCAAGATCCAGTCAAGCCTGATTCTGATTAATTAATGGAGCCTGCTGAAATCCCAGCCTTAGCTACTCTGCCTGCTCGCTAGTTACTGCTAGCCGCACAGCTGCCTTCCACTCTCACTTGAGAGACTTTGTATTTACCAAGTATTAATTAGATGAATGTGAAGTACCATTTCCTAGGCAGGGGAAATTATCTGGTCTCCTTCTGCCCTGTAAAAAGCATGTATTACAACGAGTTGTAGTCTGAAAAGGCAGCAGGTAAAAATGGTTCCTTCTTTCTGTGCACATCTGCTACTTTTCATATTTCCTCGCTTATGCTGTTGCCGTTGACAAGCAATTCAATCCCGCTAGACCTGAAAAGGCAATAGACTTATAGAAGAAGGAGCTGGAGTCTGTTCTGCTTTGCCTACGATCAGAATTGGTCCCTGAGACGATCTTTACAGTCAGACCAGTTGGACGGAAAGAGGTGCTGTCTCAGAGGGCCTAGTCCAAGTGCAAAGAGGCACTGAAACGGTGACTAGGCCAGCAGAACACTTCCAGTGAACCCTCCACCTCCAGAAGTCTTAAAGAACAGGTTAGGCAGACATTTCTCAGGAATGATTACAGGTAATCCTGCCCTGGGGAACAGGATGGGACTGGATAGTTCCTCCAGATCTCTTCTATGCCTAAGGTGCTATCATTTGATGAAATGGTGCCAGATATGCATGGTTTGATTTTGTTCTCTTCCTGGTGACAACATCAGCACCAACAGTAATACAGTAGTTGAGACCAGTAATTGCAAGATGCAGGGCTTCAAAATAGTAGCCATCTGAAAAACTCACTAGGCCACAGCGTCCTTTCATACCCTTAACTGAAGAAATGTCACAGAAGGGCTAGCATCAATGGTAAGCAATCGATCAGCTAAATTTAGGAAGCCAAATTAGAAGCTCTCCATGACAAGTTGGGTGTCTTCAGTTTAGACCACTGTGTCATCTGAAAACATTTAACTATGACAGTGAAGAGCTTTATAGAAAATTCCAAGATAAATGAATGGAAAAGGTTACCTAATAATTGCAGTCACTGTTTCACATCCAGCTGCATCCACTGCTCACCTTGACCTTTGGGGAATAATGAATAATGCATAGTCCTGGTGAATATTCACGTCTCTGTGATAGATCAGTGGCATGCTGGTAAAAGGGAACACGGTGGCCTCTCTTGTTTGTTCTTTACTCACAGCTAGGTTCAATTTCTTCATGAAAGAGGACCAGAGAAACCAGAAAAATATCCTACCTGTTCCAATATAAATTCCATTGTAATTTCACATCACTAAACTCCAGAAATTACTAATGTTCCAGTATCTGCTGCAGGGACTGCAACAGCACAAAGTTGGGGTGAAGTGATTTTCTCTCCGTCTTGGGACAACAAGAGGTAACACACCTCAGGTGCAGCCAGTGCAATTGGCTCAGACTAATGATCTCTGAGACATCTAGAAACAGAATGAACAAAGTCAGGCATAGTGAGACCTGGATTCTGTTTCCAGCTTGGCCACTTATGCACGATGCATAAAAGTCATCTTTTATCTGCGATACACTTTCCTTGTCTGTAAAATAGGGCAACACTGATTTGACCTTGTAGATGGAGTGGCAAGGCGTGAGGGGGACGCGTTGCAGGAACGCGGCACTGTAGCTGAACAGGTCCTCAGCTCTGCAGCTGATCTTGAAGAGCAGTGCCTGGAAGCGAGCAAAGAAAGGGCTCTGTGGTGAGACCTCCAGGGGATGTTAGGGGAACACACACCCCATTTGAATGCATGGGGATGCAGTGCCTTTTGAAGCTGTAAAATTGATTGCAATCTGCCTACTATGCAGTATTGCTTGTTCCAGACTAATCTCATTTTTTGCCTAACCCATTTTATGTACCAGATCTTCATCCAAGCCTCAGACAATCTTTCTGTGGACTTCCATTGGCTTTGGATCAGGTCCTAACACAGCGTTCCCAGCAGCCATGATACCCTGAGACCAGCTCTCAACCTCTCAAAATTGATTATAGTGTAGGGGCTCAGTGCAATGGGGGAGAGGAGAATCACAGCAGGAGATGAGAGAGGCAGGGGCCCATGGACTCTCGAGAGATGCCAAATGCTCTGCAGAGTAAAGAGAGTAGAGCTGTAGCTCATGTTACTGAGGGGCTCAGGGCTGACACTTGGGGTTGAGAATCTGCCAGAGACCATCAGGCTGCATTTCCTTAAGTGCCAGAAAGCTGTCTTGGCATTTCCTGGCAGGGTAACAAGGGGGCTGGCTACTAACAAGGGGATCATTCTGGCAAACTTCAAAGCACACCTCTGTGCCTGACCAACTAAACCATAGGGACAAAGATCAAAGGTATAGTCAAAAGCAAGACAGCAGAAGGGGAGAATTTCACCGATGGCTCTCCCCCAACACTTGCTAGTGTTCACATCACGTTATGATGAACGGCTTGAGGATCTCCCGCAGAGCTGCAGTAGAGGCAGCTTCACTGCTGGAGGTCATGGAGAGTTTGCATTTTCCCCCAGCTTGCCAATGAAGTGTGTGACCAACTTCTGCAGGGCTTCAGCCCGAACCATTGAGATGCGCAGCACTTCCTCATGGCTGGCTTTCTCCTCACTGTTGTAGCTCATCACAACCTTGTTGGTGATGAGGGAGACCCCGAAGACTCTGAGGCCACAGTGCCTGGCTACAATCACCTCCGGGACTGTGCTCATGCCTACAGTAGGAGACAAAAGGACAAGGGTGAGTCAGAAAAGTCAAGATTTACACCAAAACAAAATCTCTCTAAAGCTCCAAACCACTTTTCCATCATCAGCACATGCCCTTGTCTCATTTCTCGGCAGCTCTCTTTCTGAGCAATGCAACGTTTCAGGCTGTAACAGCTGTAAGACTGCAATAGTTGTAGCACTGCAGTTACAACTCTGTTCTGCATAATGTTTGATTCCTGTGTGCTGTGTCTCTGTCCCTAAGACAGAGTGCCTCGTGGCAGGCTGCTCGTAGCCCTGCTGTGAGAAGTACTGATGCACTGTGTCATTTGGCTCTTCTCTTCCTTGGCTAAAAAAATATCTCCAGGAGAAAGAGCTTTCTGAGAAGCTGAGCTCCTTTCCTCACACACAAGGCATCTGCAGATTTTAATGAACAGACTTCCACAAGCTGCTTCAGCTACCCAGGTGTCAAGCTGGAGGAATCATATGGTTCATAATGCTTACCTTCCTCATATGCAGTTGGGAAGCTTTCCATAACTGCTACCCCTAAAGCACCAAGAGTCTCTTGTGGAGGGCTGCTTTGTACTGAAGAGGCACAGGGAAAATCCTTAGAGCGTCAGAATTAAGAAAATAACTGAAGAACACTTTACTTCTGACTGGGCTCCCCTCATTCCTACTGAAGTCAAGCCGTTTGAGTGTGGGAAATTTGTTCCTTGGAAAATAAAGGGAACATTATGTTGGGCTCCTTGTCTCAGACAGCCATAAACAGGCAGAACTGTTTTGCAGGTTGGTCCTAGCAGCTGCATTAAGTAACTACAGAACTAAGCAGAAATGCAGAGAGCTTGTTTCTCTAGGCTCAAGAGACTCAGGTGGGGAGACAAAGAATGAAAAGAGTCAGCCTGGGGCCAAGTTCATTGTTTAACCCATTGTAAAGTGTCCAAATGACTCCACAAGCCCGGTCCACATAGCTTACCTACAGCATCTGCTCCCAGGACCTGAAGCACGCGGCACTCGGCAATGGTTTCATAGCAGGGACCTGCCAGCATACAGTACACTCCTTCTCGGATGAAACCCAGGTAGCCGAGTTCCTGTGCGCTCTCCCTCGCCAGGCTGAGCAGCTCTTGTTCGTAGGCATCTGACATGCAGGGAAACCTTACTCCGAACCTGTAAGGCAGGAAAGGACACAGCCAGGCTGAAATTGCTACTGCTACCTTCTCTCCGTCAGGGTTCAGTAATGATCACCATTTGGGAAAAAGGGAAAGATTAAGGGCAGACCTGCCACGAATATAGTCTGTCTCATCCCAGCCTCACCATCAGACACTTCTGTCACCATAACGTTCCTGCCAGATCTAATCCCTTGAGACCCTCGGCATGGCAGAGATTATAGCCACTGGAAGGTCTGGCATTGTGTTCCTACAGTACAAGTCCAGCGGTAATGGTCTTTCCAAGAATTTCTAACTCCAGATAACACTAATGGCCAATTCTCTTTCTCCCCAATAACTGGTCATAGTGACTTTCAAAAATCGGGCATCAGCGAGTTGCTGCCCTTTGCTTCTCCTCCATCCTGGGTGGCAGAGAGGCTCCCCGGGGAACTGAGTCCCAAAGGCTACCCCAGTGAGGAGGTTGGAGCAGGGCCTGGTGGAGTATTGGTAACTACACATTTAAGAGTCCCTGCAGCGGGCAGCTGTTAAATCAGGCTCAGCTCCGGGGATACCCTGTTCTCCAACAGCAAGGGCTGTTCTGTTGCCTCATTAACACCCACACATTGAAAATAGAAACACAGAGTTGGAGGCGTTGGAGAGAAATCAGGTGAGATTTGAGTCTCTCTCCTCTACTGTCTACATTAGGCTAGTTTGAAGGTTCCAAGGAGTGGCTTTCTTTGGAAGGCCTATTCTGCAGATGAACAGAGATTGCTAGTCAGAAAACATACCCCAGGACAGAGCCCCTGATTTAGCTTTTGGTTCCTGGCACAGCAGGGTCACACCAAACACAAGGCAGTTCACTTTTCTAGGATATGACTGAATTTAGTTGCCTAACCATAGGCTTCTAGAGTCATGTGAGATACCCTGGTAGGTCCTGCCAGTCCCCCAGCTGCCACTCCAGAGCATGCAGGTATCCTGTAGATCTTACGTTGTAATTGCCAGCTCCTGAGAGGCAACAGGCATAAACTGAAACACAGGAAGCTCTATTTGAACATGAGGAAAAATCTCTTTCCTGTGAGGGTGACTGAGCATTGGAACAGGTTGCCCAGAGACGTTGGGGTGCCTCTCTCCTTGGAGATACTCAAAAGCCATCTGGACATGGTCCTGGGCAACGTGCTGTAGGTGACCCTGCTTGAGCAGGGGTGTTGGACTTGCTGATCTCCAGAGGTCCCTTCCATCCTCAACCGCTCTGTGATTCTGTATTGGATACTCCATGGAGGCTCAGGTGCTATTAAATGCTTATGTTTAGGCAATGGTGTCCTGTTCTTGGTACCCTCTCTTGCAGGAAAAGGGGCCCATTTTAAAGCTCCAGGGACAAATTTTAGGTAATGTTCTTCCTGTGCTTCAAGGTTGGGTCTCCAGCTTGCTTTAGATCTTAAAATAATAGCTCAGTCCTGCTCCTGATTGAGTAAATCATACTATGCACCCAAGAAGAGCAGAAGTAGATGTCAGGGACTGGTGTGCTGCTGCTGCTGCTGCTGCAAAATAAACTTCTAGCCATCTTCCTCAACTTGGTTCAGTAGGAATGGATCTGGTCCCTTACCTAGACTATTAAAGCTCTGGCTGGCTTTCATGTTTCTCCAGCTGAATGCTCAGGGCAGCAGCTGACTTACTTTACGTTTGTGAGCACTAAAATATTATAAATAAAAAATAACCTTTTCTGTCTGGTCTAAGGGAATAAGCATTCATCAGCTCAAGAATTGCTTCTTCTCCTTCCTGAAGGATGGCCCGTAATGCACAGGCCAACCTCTTTAATTTATTAAATGCACTCCTCATATTCTTGCCTAAGTTCCCTTTTCACATCCCTGCGTTGCATCTAGTCTCCCTCTGTTGTGCTTAGATAAATCCTTCCTGGTGGCTGAGCTGGACTGGCTTTTAGCAGGAGTTTGCTCAGCTGAAGCAACACTCTGTGACACTTTGAAAGCTGATTCATAAAGTCCTTTTGCCCATTCTGATGCCCTGGTCAGCAGTACAAAAGGCGTATCTCCCAGAGCACTGCAGTCTTCACTGGGTGGCTGCTCTCAGGAGGCAATGAGACAACTATGCTGCCTTTGAATGTTGTGCAAATGAAGTTATTGTTTGGTTGGTGTTTTTCCTCCCATTCCTGAGTGATTATGCAACTCCAGAGAGCTGTCAACATTCCTCCATGTGGCTTCTTTGCTTTTGATCAGTCTTTCTTCCAGCCCATACTAATAACTATAAAGATGTAAAGATGTTTTGCTTTAGATGGGTACTGTCCTCTTGCCATTTGAATTGTAGAACAGCATTTATTTTTTCTGAGATAATTGCTCACACCTTCCAGATTTCTTCAGAAGCAGGAGCCAGATCTGATGTTAGACCAGGAAGGAAATAACTTCAACTGGAAACCAAGCAGAACATGTTGCTCTCAACCAGAACTTAATTTCTGGAAAGATCCCAGGAGAGTCCAGGTGTCTGTCCTGCAAACATGTCCCTTTTACTAAGATGAAGGTACTAACAATCCAACATGAGATTTGGGTGTTCTGTTATCTCAGTTCACTCTTTGCTCATAAACTGCCACCTCCTTCACCACCTCTGTTCCCTGTCCTCTGGCTTTACACACCTGGCTTTCATCTGGCCTCTTTTCTGCCTGTCTGGTTAGGAAATCATTCTTTCTGCTGTTACCTCCTTATCATAAAAATCATGAGAAGACTTAGACAACCCTGGATCTCTCCTGCTTCCTGGTTGACTTTCCTGACACCTGAAGCTCTCTCCTCTGCTCAGGCCAAAGCTCCAGTGGATGTGTACAGCAAAAATCCTGGCCTGCTGCTCTGTAAGACTCTGACTTGCCAGCTCAACCAGCAGCAGGTCATGCTCTTAGATCTAGAGGTCTCTGGAGAGGCTGCCAAGACAACCAGCTCTCATTGTACTGATGCCTTCAGTGAATACATGATATTAACAGAGGCATCTCAGTTTCATGGCCTGAATATAAGAAAGGTCAGCAGAAACTTCTGAGTTTTCATCTTTACTCTTCTTCCAACTTATTGCCTGGCTTCTGCTGTGTCACAGTTCTATCACACCAGAATAAATGCAGGCTGGAAACACTGCAGTTCACTAGATCACTCAATTAGAAGGAACGGGCAGAGAGAGGGACTGACAGGAAGAGACAGCAACAGATCTGTTTTGCAGCCGGAATGGCAAGCCATGTCAGGAGAAGGATCGGGGTTCTGCTTTCACAAATCAAACCTTCTGAAGGTTTGCATATAAACGCCTTGTAGACTTAAAATAGAAGCAACAACCAGGGAAGGCACTTGGGGAAAGCAGGGCAGGTGGCACAGCACGCTCAGTTATTGCTTTAGCTATTCCCTTGTTGGTATCTGGATCCAAACACTAACTCTCAGTTAACATTTGCCAGCAGGTATGCCTGGTGGTTTCAGCACAAGGCTGGAGCAGGAAAGGCTGCATTGGCAATGTGGGGGCCATGGGGCCAGCTGGGGACTAGAGAAGACTGCTTTGCCACAGCACCTTTGGAACTCAGCTGTGCAACAGCAGGGGATGAAGCAGGACAGGAGCAAGGGCCAGTGACAGAGCTGTGTGGGAAGTCTGTGAAGAACCTGCCACACAGCCGCTTTAAGCTAGTGCTATTAACCTTTCATAAAACCATGAGAAATGCTCTTCTGCTCTTGCATGTGCATGCTGTCCAGTTTTGGGAGGGAGGATGCGTTCTTACCTCTCATCATTTGGTCCACGCAGTGGATTCTGCCCTCCCAAGCCAAATATGTTGATGTGATCTCTAATGAACATGATGTCCCCCACTTGGAAGTGGTGATTCAGTCCTCCAGCAGCATTTGTGACAATCAAGATCTCCACTCCCAGGAGATAGAACACCCTGATGGGAAAGGTGACCTGCAAGAACCGAAAAAAGACATCTGTGCAATGAATAAGACAGTTCTTAGCTCAGATGTCTGGTATTCCAGGAGCACGGTGCTAGATTGGTCTTTGCATAGGTGGGATATCTTCCATTCCATTCTTGCATCTTTTCAGAGAGGGATGGAGCTGTGATGAAAACAGAGCTGGAGCAGCCAGTAAGTAGTTGGTCAATTGTTCTTGCTCAGTTAAAAACAGCAGCAGGAAAAGACGTGAAGACTATGATCAACAGCATTAAGAGGGTATAAAGGATGAGCGGAAGGAGAAACAGTGCAGAAGGTTTGAAGCAGCTAGCAAGCCAGCCTTCTCGGGGAGGCAAGGAGAAGGGGAGTTTGTAGAATACAAATGTTCTGCCCACCTTGTTTGGGGAGAGAAAGAATCTTTGCAGTAGTCCTCCCCCATTTTAGTCTATGTGACTTCAAAAGAGTCACTTTTCCTCAGTTTAGCTCTGTAGATCCTCACATACCATAGCTGTGTAAAAGCATTTCCTTCTTAAGCAAAAGATCTGTTTCTGAGCCTCCTAGTTGCAGGGGAAGGAGAACTAAAGGCCTCCCATGCACCTAAGTAAGGAATTTCCCATCTCTGCAGGCAGTGAGGAGGCTATGTGAGCCTATGAGGAGACAAATCAAATTTTTCTGTAATTTAAAACTCCCTCCCTACTTTAAATAAAAAGCATTTTGATGTTTTGGAAACATATTAAAAACTAATTTAGAAATAAGTACCTTTAAAATTTAAGCCCACATTTACTACAGTTTCACTAAGGTTAAATAAACAGAGTACAAAAAGAATATGCAGATAATTTTTCCTTGCTGCCAAAGTCTTGCAGAAAGCAAACCACTGTGCTGGTTAAGTAACTACTTACGCACATGGACCTGGAGTTCAACTGACAAACCAGCTTTTTATAGCAACAATGTATTTTGCAGAATCATAGACATTACTTTCTTCATTTCAGTTTACTCACATTAGTTCACTGCAACGACCAGCTTATCCAAAATCAAGAAACTACTGGGAATTGAAAAATCAAGAAAGTTTGATTTTGAAGAGTCAGGAAGGAATGAGGAAGAGATCTTCTAGTTCTAAAACTAGAACTAAGGTAGTTGCAAGCAGCAATAACTATAAACATCACTTCTTTCCTATGAACATCACTTCTTTAACAAGTGAGTTAATTTTAGTTGAATAACATGTTTTGATAAACCTATTTTCATATTATGTACGTTTAAAATAGCTTTGTTTTGTTAAAAGGTAAGAGTGCTGCCAAGTATTACAATTTACATCCAAACACAAACTGCCCTGAGCCGCAAACAAAATTCTAAACCTAGCCAAATAAAAAAGAACCCATAAAACCAGCAGCCGGTAAATAAGAAATATTATTTCCATTTCCCAGCAGAAATCTGTAAACATGCATCTGTAAACATCTGCATGTTAGGTTACGTAAATGTTTGAATTTACATATAGTTTCTATACGTTAACTGGGAGAATATACCAATCTATACTAGCCAATGAGGTATTTTTTAATGGGGAAAGAAAACCCTAAAATAAATAAATGCAAAAGAAGATTAAAATAGATTATTTTTATGACTCAAAGTTTCCTGGTTGTTGATTTAAACTGTGATTAAAATGACTGAGTTGAACCACGTAAATTAATCTGCCTGGTATGATATACTATTTCACTCTGCAAGTATTGTAGGGCTAGCCAGTTTGTATGGCTGCATAGCATCAGCTTTATCTGGCAAAAGCTAGCAGACTTCTCTCTTAGTTTGAATTCCCAATTTTTTGGTTTTAGGAGCAGACTAAAATCTAAGCCTAAGCTCTTTATATGCTCAGTGCAAGAGCTAACCTCCTGCAGCTACCTATCAAAGCAAGCAGTCGATTTTGCCTTTCTGTAAAAATACATCTCTTCTGCTCTGCGAATGATTTTCTTAAGGAAAACTCACCGTGCTGAGAGAGTATCCTTCATAAAAGTGGAAACGTCCCTGCATACATACGCATGGATGTCCATTCAGGTCCCCAAACACCAATCTGCCAACATGCCCTGCAACTGTAAATTAAGAGCGTGTCATTCTTGTTATAGGTCTTCAGATCTTTGATTTTGCAGGGGTTTGTCGATTGATGCTTATGCACTACAGCAAGGGCAAGCGCTGCAAAGCTGGGAACTGAAAGTTCAGTATAAATATTGATGTCAACGTGCAGAAATATGTGGGTAGATTATCGATTTTTTGGAAAAAAATGCTCAGCAGCTTTTTCTGAGTTCTGCAAAATCTCCCGTACTGTCCTACCATTCAACTCGACTGGAGTAATACTTCTGGAGAAAACTCCAGGGGCACAAACACATGCTGAGACCTTCAGAAGAGGGTCAGGTCACGTGAGGACGGATGGCTTCAGAGACGTTGATTTCTGCTCGCTAGCAGTTGGTCCAAGAACATCATTTCTCATGGGACCCTATCAAGTCATGGCATATTAGGAAAAAGCAACCAGGGATAAATTTGTATTGACAGCTGGCAAATGAAAAACAGCTGACAACATGACCATTTCTTGAGTTCCCCTCTATCTAAGAACGAGTATAAATTCTTTTTGCAGTGATAGCAAAGTCGTCAGTTTACAGTTATCACCTAGACTGATGTATGATTTGGGATTAGGGCTCATAGAGAAGACACTGAAGTTAAAGTCCAGATGTGGCTCTGTGGAGGCTCATCTCACCACTGAAGGACTGTTTGCAGTCAGGTGCCAAGAGCGGAACATGTATGTTGTGTATGCCATTTTGAGCTGTCTTAACCTATGGGGATGACACTGGGCTCTGTTACAAGTTGTTGATGGGAAACTGAACATCTCTTACAAATAATCAGATGCCCTGGGTTGTGCTAACCTGTGCTCCGTGGGAAATGAGGAATATCCTCATACGGAAAGATTGTCTTGTTATCCAACACATCAGCCAGACCTCCCAGTCCAGATCCGCAGATGATGGCAGTCTTTGGGCGCTGAGCAGTATGGGCTTGTAACCAATCTGCTGTTTCCTTATACACCTCATAGCAATTTCTGCAGAAGAACAGGTCAGTGAGGCTATCAACCCATCCAAAGAACAAACTTCAAAGGACAAAAGTCCCCAAAAGGTGCAAAGAAAAAATTTTTTTGATAAGACTAAAATGATAGGCGCTTCACTGCTATTATTATAGATGTTTCTCTATAGCAACCACTTTTAATCTCATATATTTTAGCTCTGGCCACAGGCAAATCATTTGAATTCTCAGTGCCAGTTTCATTCTACAGTGAAAAACTGGCTAATGATATCTGTGTCACAGAAATCTCACAAGGCATAACCATTCATGTTTTGATGAGCACTGGTCTCTCTGCAGCTACTGAAGGGATGTGAAAGCATCGTTCGTCTGAGAAATTGTGAACTATATGTCAGTGCATGGGGATGTCTGACCTGGGATGGGGAAATGTGAGAGGGTACGAGTGCAGGGGCACCTGTACGACACGACCGGGTTGCTGTGTTGACGAGACAGTTGTCACCATCCCCCTGCGATGGGGTAGGCAGTAATCCTACGCAGGGTGGTGTCACACATCAGCTACAGAGATAGGGAACCCAAACTTCCCAAGTGCTGAGTGCCCTCAGCTCCCAGTGCCTCCTTCTGGAGATGGTAACATTTCTAAAACATCCACCTCCTTGATACCTCGTGATTTCACGAGTGGAGGTTGACACAGAGACCTCGCTCATCCTTTCCTCTCCTGCAGGGTGGGCAGTGGCTCACACCTCTAGTCTGCCGTAGGCAAGAAGCCTGGTGACATAACTCCATGGCAAAATAGAAATTAAAAGCAGGAATTTGGGCTCCAGGGCCTGTGTTATTCAATTTCAGGGGGGGCTACTCAGATACCTTGCCAAAACATAGGTCTTATCCCGTGCTGACGCACATTGCTAGAAGGGGGGATAGGAGGAGCTGGCATTACCTTGCCTGTTTTGTATCTGTCTCATGGAAAGAGAGTGGACTTCAATATATAGCCCTGTCACTCCAGTATTCTTCAGATGCACTAATCGCAGTTTTGAAATACAATCAATAGAAGAATAATCCTATAATCCTGTTTCCAATAGGACAATGAAGATACTTTCGGAAAGTCAATATCAAGGTCGATTGGAAATTCTCTTCAAAAGCAGGGGTACTGATAGTATTTCTTGATTTCTTGATGGCAACTCAATTGTTGCCATTGATTAATGGAGTAATGGTATTTAGTGGAGGACTGGGTCACAGAGTGAGCTCACCCAAACAGGGGCAGCATGTTCTGCATGTAAAAAGTCGACCTGCTTATTAAGGGGTGAAAAGATCAGATACTGCAAGGGTGAAGGTGATGTAAAATTGACTGGAGACACTGACAAGCAGCATCCATTTCTTAGATATTCCTTTTCTAAAAAACCTTCCCCAAAATGGGATTCCACTTTCTGCAGCCTTGCTGCACATATGCAAAACCTTTCAAAGTGGTGGTCTATACTCCAGGAGATTTCAGACCATCGATGAACAGGATTTGAATGATGATGTACATCTAATTCCTCTAACTGGAGCATTACATATTCAAATGCAGAATGGTAACTCTAAAATCATTTTTCTTTCTTGGTACTGATACAGCAGGTAGCTAATACGTGGGTATCTTCTGTGAGCTTTTTCATCTCCTAGCTGCCCAGCTCCTGCAATAGGTCCTGTCCAATATCTGCTACATCAAAATTATGTTCCTAGTCAGGAATGGTGATGCCGTGTATGCCTAGAGTATGTCATAAACTCATGATCTGCTCAAAAACCAACCAAACAAAAAAATCACTTCCATATTCATGAATTAAAATGGAAATTCATATTTACCTGAAATATTTTTCAAAGGAAAAGTCTGAGAATGAGAAAGAGTTAATTTAACATAACTTATTTTTGCATTCTCCAAGTATACTGTCTCCAAGCTCTTAAAATAAGCAAAAGATATGAAAATAACATTAACTAGGCCTACCTTTGACTGACTATATTATCATTTTCCCAGCCATAGCTTTCCTAGACAAATATTTTAAAAGTGCTTTACATACATTAATGAATGATTCCTCATACTTTCTCCTCTGAGTAACTGTAACCCTTATTCAGAAATCTGAAAGAACCAAGAGAGTTTAAACATAATACCCAAGCTCACGAGGTGCCTGTGGCAGACATGAGGAAAGAACTGAGGTCACCAAGTATTTGCTCTGTCATTTGCTCCCTAGTCCCCTGTCTTCCATTTTTGCTGTGCCTTTTTAAAAAAGAGTGAATACACCCTTGCAAAATAACATAAAAATACTAGTCCCATATCCCCAATAATTTTGGGAGTGTGGGATGAATCTGATTCAATGAGAGCTGAAGACAGTGGGATTGACTGAGTTGCATCGAGTTTCAGAGGGATGTTTTCTGTCTAAGCAGAATAAAGAAGTTAAAATCTTTCCTATCCACAGTGGGTAATAAAACTCCAGTCCTGTGTAACTACTTGCCGGAAAGGAGCCACAGCAAGTATGAAGGGGCCTTAGAAGCCATCTTAGCCTCCAAAGACTTCAAAAATCCCAGAGCTGTCTCTGGTGCTGAGCACACAATGACTCACCAATAGAAAAAAAATGTGAGTATAAATTTGGGGTGCCCAGACAGCAATAGTTTCTGTTTAGTTCTCAAATCTTCTGGATGCACAGCATTAAAGGGGACCTGCAGGTGCTGAGAATTTCTAAATGCGAGGAAGAAGACACTTGCTCAGCGGGAGAGGAAGAAGAGTTTGCCCTAAGGGTCAGCGAATGCAATATTTAGCTTGGAACTGCATGACCCTGAGGTCTATGCAAGCTTTTTGATAGTGTGCATTAATACATGTAGCACAAACCCCCCTATAGCAATTCCATCTCCAACAATGCACACCTAATAATAGTGCTCAGTAGCACCGCTTTGGATTAAATCACAGGATCAGCTGAAAATCCAATCCCCTTTATTGTGATTGCTGTCACCCACTGGAGAAACACATCTGTTGCAGAACACAGGATTGTTGTTGATGACAGATCTTTTATGGCATGAAAAAAAAAAAAAGAAATCTCTCACTGTGCTTCTAGGCTGGTTGAAAGCAAATCCATGTAAAAGGCTGACATGTCCCAATAAACAGATAAGGCATTACATTTTGAAGAGGGTCATAATGGCCTATGTATTTGCAGTGTATGCATCTCTGTCTCCACTGAACAACACAACGATATTTGCCTCTTCAATATCCTGTATCTTCTGGCCCATAACCTTTCTCAAGGTCACCTGCTCATTGCCATATTTCATAATACCAGCACCTGACACAGGCAGATGGCCAGATTCCTCCTCAGTAATAAAATGTTTACTTCTAAGCATCCTGTGCCTGATGTTTACTGAGTGCCCAGTAGGAAGGAGGAGAGAAAAACAATGCAAGGAAAAGTGATGCAATTCCTCTAGCCCCTTTTTAGCTTCGATGCCTATGCATCCCCTGTTTCACAGCCCCTTACCTGTCTTCCTCAGCATAGGCCATCCTCCTCTCTGGTTAACTGAAAGAAGGGGATGGAAATGGAGCTGCAGGCTTTACTTGTAGCCTGGCGGAAGGACCAGGCAGCAGAGGCCCACTGAACCTGCAGAAGCTGCCGCCGTCTCTGGCAGTGAGTCAGGGAGGTGTGTTTCGAGCTTGTCTCTGCCTTCCCCGGAGCAACTCTAATCCTGGAGTAGGAGGGGCATGTTCGGGACATCGGCTTTTCTGGTCTCACCCCCACTGCACATATGCTCCAGATCTATGCAGAAAGCTTACACGCACACACACATACGTGCGTGTGCTCACATTACAATGCAGGTTAAGCCTAGAAAGTTCACATGCACACACGCAACTTTAGCAGCCCCTAACAGTACAGCAGCTGACAATAAATCTGCATAGATTTGCACATACTTGCATCAACTGAGAACCAGCTAGCAGCTTTAGTCACCTGCTCCTTTATAATTCAAACCTCTGGGAGTGGGCCATGAGTTCACTGGCAGTCTGCAGAGTCTGCCAGACAATCTGCACCACCTATTCCTGTGACAAGCAATGAGACATTTCTGCATCTCACATCATTATCTTCCCATTCGTTCATGGCAATGAGCGGGAGATGTCTCTTCAGGGCCCCCAATTTTTTTACTCACATTTAATTGTCATACCCATCTCAACAGAAAATACTGCTTCGAACTATTCTACACCTCTCTTCAACTGTTTATGTTATGGAAGACACTGGAAAAAATCAGCATCCCAGCATGTGCGTCTCCAATTTTAGTTCTGTTTTACATGGAAAACTTAAAACAATCTTGGCATAGGTATCTGTCCATGCAACAATGTCTGATCCCAACAGCTAATTTGAACCACATTTAACAAAGCCATAGATGTTTCCAAGACAATAAAGTGCCTTAAAAATGTATGGGAATAGGTGATGGGTAGACAAGAGACCTTACCTGCTCCAGGTGCAAGGCTACAATATGCATTCATGGCTTACTAGATCCAGAAAAGCCTCATGGGAACAGCCCTTATAAATGTCCCAAGCAGGGAGAAAGCCTCAATCAGAGCTTGTGAATTCTTAGACAAATCAGCCAGACATAATAAAAATCCCTAGAAAAGTGGACTTCCCCAGTTCCAGGTCTGGTTCCTTCTATGCATGTTTGCTTCTTGGTCTTGAAGGCCACACGTCAAAATCTCCTAGGCTGCCCCAAGCAACTCTCTCAGAGAACTTCAAAGTCAAACAATAAGAAGCCTGGTCATTTTTAGAGAGAGAGAGATATACTTCATGTTGGAAGACCCTTGCTCCAAGGCAGAAACTCACAGTAATCTCCTCGATTCCAGCACATGCCGGGAGTCCACAACAACATGCAGGGTGTAGGCATCGTGTAATAGTAAGTTCTGTCAGTAAGAGCTATTTGTTGAAAGGTACAAATGGCACTGAAGTAGCCAGATACTAGAAAGTGGATCCAAACAGAAATCACAAGCGCCCTTTCCCCACAAGTTCCTGTCCTTCCCCTCCACCACTTCAGGCAGCAGGAGCTGCACATGACTGCACTGGCGCAGTGCAGTCTGGTGGTAGTTTTCTGTGGCAGTACTAAACTTATTTTCCTTTCCATCCCCTCTCTTCTCTTCCCCTCCTCATTCTGTTCTTACCATGTTTTCCCTCCATTTTCAGATACCCCCTTTCTATCATTACCTCTCATTCCTGTCTTTCTGAACCCTAGTCATCTCTGTCTGTTCTGTGTGCAGTCTCCCTTCCCTTCATTACTTTTTCCTTCATCATCATTTTTTGTATAAAACACATTAAGCTGATTGCAGAGATGGCTTTAGGTAGACGCAATTGCATCAGGCCCTGTGTTCAGAGAGGCCCTGCCAATATGCCAAAGGACTCTGCAAGTCACAGGCCACTGCAAACTACACCTGCCTAAAGGTAGGGCCTAACAGCCCCCTCCCTGTTCCTGCCAGTCTTTCTGCCTGCTGGAGATGCGTGCTTCTCTTGCCAGCACTCAGGACTTTTCTGAAAGCCATTACTTGCTCCCATTAAATTAACGACGGAGCAATGTTAGGCCCTTAATGTTGATTTGCCATATAGTTCTTTGGTACCAGCAGATTTCTGATGCCCATAGATCTATTTCCTTGTTTAGCTTTGATCTGATTACGTTCATTAATCTGATATTTTTTTTTTTTGCAAAGCAGACAAAGAGATCAGACAGACTGGGAGGTCTTTCCAATTTGTTTCTGTCTAAGACAATCTCCTCCCTAGTTTAGATTTATATGGCAAACAGGATTATCGCAAAGGCACCATTTTATCTATCTTTCTGCAATGGTCTGATTTAACAATAACAAAAATGACTGGAGTTTTAATCTGTAATGGTGCCTTTATTTTATGCTTGTCCAGCTGGGCTCACCCTACTAGACAAAATTAATTTGAGCATTTGAGCATTCATGTCAATAATACTGTAGAAAGGAAGAGAAAAAACTAATTAAACTTCAGCTCCTGTACAAGCACTCTAAAGTAGATCTGTCTAAAGATGAAGTTATTGAATAGATCACCTAGTCCCAAAGAAAGAGTATTGACAGTCTTTCATTCGGAAAGAATCTCAGTTGTCTATTAGTCTTTCTATTAGTCTTTATGTATGTGTGTCTGCAGCAAAATATATCTATAATCTCAATCTTATTGACTTGGGTGTCATTCAAGCCCTGCTTCTGCAGGCAGGCATGGCAATGAGCGGGAATAATTTTGAAATAATGCTTTACATTCTTACAACAATTTCTATCTAAGGAAGTGTTGTGAAACTTTTGGGAAGCATTTCGTCAAAATATTTCGTTAATGCTTTGGGGTAAGTCTCCCATGTACCTCTATGCTCACATTACCACAGCATCAAATTACCTTGTAGCCTTCTCACGTGTACCACACCATGAGCATTTTGGGAAAGAGAACTGAGCTGCAGAAAGACTAACAGGGTCTCTTAACTGTGTAGCTAGCCTGAGTAAGCCTGGTCGAGGCTTTGCTGCATCCCTACAGCAAAGACTTACTGGCTTTACTGTGCCATCATGGGTGCAGTGCTCAGCCTTATCTCCATCTGAGGACATCTTTCCTGATTCTCTGGTACTTAGGAAAGTTGGGAGTCCATCTTAGTCAGTGTTTTGGAGGAATGTGAAATGGAAAAAACCTGGAAAGGTTTTGTTTCTCTGCTAATTTCATAAAGTATAGTTCCAGATTCGATTCAAAGTGTAACACTACTCCTCCCACCCAATTAAGTTAGTCTGACTTAACGCTTCCCCCAAGCTTAGTCAGAAGTTTGTGTACAGATGGGAAGAGCATGAGCTAAAATCCAGGTTTAAAAAAAAAAAAAGGGGGTGAAAACTTCACAAGTGGTTTCCCCAGACTCATACAGGGAATCTGTGGCAAAGGAGAGAACTAAATGCAATCTAAGAACTAATCAGAATTTCTACTGTAATTCAGAAACTCATCTTTTGGGAGACTCATCATGTTTATAGGCTGGGTATCCCAGACAGTCACAGGAGTGTCACCAGCCACAAGTAAGGTAAATACAATCGAATAATATACCAGAAAAGGTATTTGTCTAGAGAAAGAGGGCTTCTAATAGAAATCTCTGGGCAGATCTGCCTGAAGTGGTTTGTACACTGCTTGTTATACATCTTCAAGAAAGAGGAACTCCAACTATAGTGACTGCAAAAAAAGGCATGACCAGGGGAATGGAGATCCGGAAGCTAAAAGAGCTTGGCTCTGTTAGTGGAACAAAATGAAAACTAAGCAATGCTCTGGTGGCAGTCTGTAAAAACATTGCCACAGAGGCAAGAGAGATACATAAACTTAAAGACAGTGTTGGCACCAGGAAGCTGGGGAGATACTTCTTCAGTCCGGCTAGACATTAGAAGAAAGTTTCTAGCTACCCAAGTGTAAGGTTCTGGACAGCCCTTCTGAAAGGGGCTTTCCTTCCTGAAAAGGAAAAAGGCCTTTGGAACGGAGATCAGTTTATGTAAAGGATTGTATGAGGCGCACTGAGCATCTGTACTTTCCCGTGTCAGTAAGACTGAGGCAGAAAGAATGTGACTTGCCCAAATCTGGAAAACAAATGACACAATAGAAATTTGGAAAAGAGCCCGGATGTCCTAAGACTAGCCAGCATACCCACTTTCCAACTCCAGAAGAGGCATCAAAGGTTAAAGAAAAAGCCTAGGGTCACGGTTGCAGAATTTTGCGGGAAACAACAGAAATGTTCCTGTCAAGGAACTCAGTAGCACCAAGACAAAAAGAAAAGGATCTTTTTCAGATTTTAAGAGAGGAGGTCACACTTTCTTAAGGGATAGAAACAGCACAACTGGGGACGAGCAGGTCGGGTTTGGGATGAATGGATGTGCTTTGTGCTGTGAATGTGCTTTGAGGCAGGCAGAAAAATCAAATAGCTCAGGGGAAAATACGATGGAGTCTTTCAACAAAGTATTAGTAAAGATATGTAGAAAAAATACCACAGAAGTTAGTCGACTAAAGACTACAAAAGGCCAGATACCCCTCTGGCCTACAATAAGCACAAATAACTTGAAAAGAAAGAACAAAAAATCATAAGGAAGAAGGAAGAAATACTTATACAGCCCTGTCATAGAAGAAAACAATTTGCAAATGGTTAAATGGTACAACAGAATTATATATATCACTAATGATCATCGAAAATAGACACATTCCTCTGTCCAATACAGTAAAATACAGTTCATATCCTGGCATTGCACCTAACCATTGGCCCGGAGTTCTGCATATACTTCTCCATAGGAAGAATATGACTATAATCAGGATACTTCCCTGTACTTAGACCACATAGGACAAAAGTTTATTCTTTGCTCTCATTTAGTTTTCTCTCAACAATTTATAATAGTTTCACACAGAGGAGCTCCAGTCCAAACTATTCACCAGTCTCCTGGGCTGTGTTCCCAAATACAGTTCCCCAAAACCCCTCTTTGGAGAACGTGGCTCTCTGCAGGTCACTAGGTGAACATATTATCACTTGTAACCACAGTCCACCAGGAGGTATTATTTACGTTGCCCCAACAGGCCCAACGCTTTCTCGTTGTCTCATCTGCGACGAAATAATGCCACAAAACTGAACAGTCTACAGGGTTTTTCTTATTTCCATTTCACTGATTTTTGTGTTAAGAAGTGAAGGTTAAAAAACTGCAGATCATTTTATTAATGTTCTGCATTACACATTGCTGACTTAAGTCTCACAACACACTTTCGCTGTAGCAGCAGATTACAGATGCAATCCTTCAGATGAAGGAATCAAAATGCAAAACTTGCCTGACTTTAGACTGCAAGCCAAAAAACAGAATGAGAGCCCTGACTGACTGGTCCCTAAGGTCATGCCAAACCACTATATTAAGAGCAACCAACCTTCCCAACCTCACATGGTACATCCCAATTTCTTAGTACAGCTAAAAGCCACAAGACATGTAAAATGTAAATCAGAGCCCCAGATGTGGCTGAGAAGGTGGGAGACAGCAAGTCTTTCCTTAATGTGTATCAAGGTCTGCAGTATCTGCTCTGCACCTTACAAAAAATAAAAAGGCTGCTGCCTGCCTACCGCTAAGAAGGCTAATGTTATCTTCCTAACTGATGGATATTTTACATCCTATACAATGATTGCTAAAAGCATGGTGAGCCTTGATCCAAAAATACACATTTGTGTGACTGATCTTTAGAAATAGGGTGAGAAGAACGGGGTGTTCTGTAGAATCTATTAATTTTCTTCCAGAGCTCAGCTTATGCTTTCAGGCCCCGTTCCTGCATATCTGATATGATCAAAAAAGCCTCCCAAACCTCCAACAAGACCCTTCAACTACATGGATTAGCATGGTTAGACTGCATGTGTACTCTGCTATTTTAAATAAATCAAAAAAAAAAAAAGTCAGAGGCACAAATAGGACTAGCTTAATTCCTAATTTGAAGACTTCTAATGTTTATGTGAATAAAGTCTGTTTAAGGACAAATGCCTCTGTTCAGGGCTGTCAGTGCTCCAGCTGTGCACACATATGATTGGTGGGGAGGACAGAAGACGAGCTCTCTATCAGCTGCTAGAAATTTAGCCCCATGAAAGTGGGGCTAATCCAGTAAGCAAGTGTTATGTTCCAATGTTGAGTTTCTCATAGAGACAGCAAAGAGTCCTAAAAAGGACTTAGAATCCGGCACAAAGCACCTCATTGAATTTCTGTTTTAACTTGAAGAGATGTTAAGAAAAGATTGGAGGAAACCCAAGTTCGCAAGCTGATTTAACAGTATAAATACAGATTCAGGAAAAAAAAAACAACTTATTTTTCTTAAGTGTGGCTATTGGCCTGTGTTGCTTTGAGCTGGGAATCTTGTAGCGCTGCATGTTCAGCAATGAAGAGTTTGGCATTGTATTTTGGGAGAGCCCTCTTCTCAGCAGCTCAGGCTCACATTAGCAGACTGTTGTGCAGAGGTGTTAAGAGCTACCTTGAAAGCCTAGCAGAATGGGGCTGACGTGGTAAAAGTCCTACTTTCAGACGAGGTAAGATTTTTAACAATGATATTACTGTTACTGCATGATCTGTACAATCATAGACCACCACAGACACCGAAGAGCTAATTAAAACCTTACCTACCCAACCAGCTAGTGGTTTATCTGCTTTAATTTGCTCAGGCTTTTCCCCTCAAACTATGTATGTTGATTGATCAGACAACAATTTTCAAAGGAGCCAATCAAAGGGTGAAGAGGCACCACATACACACAGATAAATCTCCCCTCCACAGCTGGGCTGTGTTTTGTTAGGCAAAGCTTCTTCCTGAGGGGCAGCTTGTGAGTATCTCTCTGTTATGCTGTATGTATTAGCGTTGAATATGCTAGCTTGAGTTTGAAGAGGAATTGTTTCCCTTTTTCATCCAAGGGGTTTAGTGAACAAAAGCTTAGTAGTCCCGTGCCTGTGTTTACAGGCAGTGTGAGGCTTTTTAACCTGCATTTGCTTACACAGAAAGCAGCATACCTATGGCTGTTTCTGTTCTGTAGTGGTATTCCTTTAATTTGGAAAAAAAAACTAAGTAGCTCAAAGAGGAGGAGGGAGGCTGCCTGTTTATAGATGTATGCATTCAAGGTATGAATGTAATATATGAACTTGCTAGTGTACCTAACTGATGCTTATGGAACATGATCTCTCATTGAGTGGGATAAAAGGTTAATTATCTATGGAGTAATAATTACTTTGGTGATCCTTAAAATGGATGTGCTGAATTTTAACTATTTAGCTTCCAGCAAAACTTTCTCTAGTTGCCTTAACTCTGGACTCCCCTGTACTCATATCCCTGAAGTGTTAAAGCTCGTTCTGTTCTAGGCCTGGATCAGACTTTACCAGAGAGAAATATGAGAGCGCTAAGGTTAATAAACTTGGCATTAAAGGTTTTCTGCTAACTCATACTATGCTGTTGTCTGCTTGTTCCCCGTTGCTCTGGCAGGTGCCTCGTTCTCCTGTGTGTGAAGAGAAGGGCACTCTGCCGGGCCGGGCGGCCGAGCC